TCTTCAGTGCGCGCTGCAGGCAGAGCATTGGGCAGATCTCTGGTGTCACATGTCCATTCAGCCCATCTGCTGCGCGCGTGCGTGAGACTAGTCTGATCCGAGCGCGCACGGAGCGGGAGGCTGTGAGCAGGTGCTTCAGCTGCTGACGCGGGTCTCTGTGGGTCTCTGTGGATCTCTGTGGTTCTCTGTGGTTCTCTGTGGGTCTCTTTGGGTCTCTGTGGAGTACCCCCGCTGAGGATAACGCATAACTTTTCTCCCGTGGATCTGACTCTGGACCAGTGCGTTTGGGGATCGGAGGCTCCTCTGCGCACTGCCGCAAAGAGCGAAAACTAAAGATGGGAATTACAGAAACCAGGGCGGATGTGCAGCTCCTGCGGCCGGTATCATGATGTGATTGTCGGCCTCATCTGCAGGACCGTCGGCTCTGCTCTGAGGTAAGGCTCCGTGGGGATCGTGGTGTTTGTGTCGGGAGCTGGTGCGTCAAAGCCCGGGGTAGATCCTGTCTCCTGCGCCGTCAGTGCGTCCTAACCGCGGGTGTAACTGAGAGCCGCCTGCACAGATGCACACTCTGCAAGACAACTGGCTTTAATGATTATGTTCTCTATACAATCTAAGAATAGCCTAATTCCAGCTCCTCCACCCCGTTTATCAATCATGTAATTCCACATCTGACCACTAGGTGACAGATGATAGTGCTGCTCTCTGCTGCAGGTTATTTCTGGATGCACGTTTCCAGGTCATGTATGATTTAAGAATGTATTGTTTAATGCAAATGAAGCAGATCCATCACCTTTAGGCCTCCGCTCTGCTGTCGGCTTACACAGTGACTAATCTGCTGGAAGTGTGATTACTAAAGGCAGCGTGGCCGGAGGGAATCCTGCTGAAGTTGATGATTTGAATAATAGATTTTCTCAAAGACAGAAAACATTCTCTTTCAGGGAAATACATGTTTCTTCTTTTCACGGTGTGGAGGCCTCTAAGGACTCCCAATTAGAACCTCCTACATTGTGTTTTACAATAATAATTATGGTCTTTGACCATTCAAGTCCATGAAGTCATGAATGTATCTTTCTGCAGTTAATGATCTACTTTTTAGAATGTGCTGGAAATCAGACCCTCATGAAGTATGAGGATCCCTGACCCAGTTATTTACACTATAGAATACAATATCTACACTTTAGAGTTAGACTTAGAGTTTTGTGTCAGAATAATATCTTTATTTAAACATGTCACTGAAACACAGTCTACAGAAATGTGACACACAACTGCTTCTAAGTCCCGCCCACCTGGCAACCATAGACTGTATCTGGCAACCCACTCTGGTTCTGGAATTATAATTTACATACAAAATCTCCTTAGGATTTTGAAGTCACGAAGCACACAGATGTTTTCAGCCCAAAAAGCACAAACAAAAATGTAAAATTCTGCCAAATGTGTTTATTTGTTTTTAAGTTTCAGAAACTGCAGGTCTCAGGTCCTCAATCACAGACGCTCATTAGCAGCTTTTGTAAAGTAAAGATTATTCTTAAAAAAATATTCGTTTTTTAGATTCTGAAACCTCAGTGCAAATGTTTCTTTGTGGTTTTACTTCCTGTCTTGCTCCCATTGAGCTGCACCTGTCTGTGTCTCTGTCTCTGTGTCTCTGTCTCTGTCTCTGTCTCTGTGTCTCTGTCTCTGTGTCTCTATGTCTCTGTGTCTCTGTCTCTGTGTCTCTGTCTCTGTCTCTGTGTCTCTGTCTCTGTGTCTCTGTCTCTGTGTCTCTGTCTCTGTCTCTGTCTCTGTGTCTCTGTCTCTGTGTCTCTGTCTCTGTGTCTCTGTCTCTGTCTCTGTCTCTGTGTCTCTGTCTCTGTGTCTCTATGTCTCTGTGTCTCTGTGTCTCTGTCTCTGTGTCTCTGTCTCTGTCTCTGTGTCTCTGTCTCTGTCTCTGTGTCTCTGTGTCTCTGTCTCTGTGTCTCTGTCTCTGTCTCTGTCTCTGTCTCTGTGTCTCTGTGTCTCTGTCTCTGTCTCTGTCTCTGTGTCTCTGTCTCTGTGTCTCTGTCTCTGTCTCTGTCTCTGTCTCTGTCTCTGTGTCTCTGTCTCTGTCTCTGTGTCTCTGTGTCTGTGTCTCTGTCTGTTTTCCTGGTTCTCGTTGATCATTGCATGTGCCTGTATGTGTGTATCTGTATGTATGTGTGTATCTGTATGTATGTGTGTATCTGTATGTGTGTATCTGTATGTGTGTATCTGTATGTATGTGTGTATCTGTATGTATTTGTGTATCTGTCTGTATGTGTGTATCTGTCTGTATGTGTGTATCTGTATGTATGTGTGTATCTGTATGTATTTGTGTATCTGTCTGTATGTGTGTATCTGTATGTATGTGTGTATTTGTCTGTATGTGTGTATCTGTCTGTATGTGTGTATCTGTCTCTGTGTGTGTGTGTGTGTCTGTGTGTGTGAGTGTGTTAAACGGGGCTGGGTAGTTTTATTATACTTAGTTTTTTCTGTCTGACAGTGTGTTGTAGTGTGACATCACAAGGACCACTGTGTCTGGGTTCAATCTCTCCTTTGGATCATGTTTAAGGTTCACTGTCTCTGCACAAGTAAAAACTCTACCAACCTCACCCCTCACACGCCTCACCCCTCACGCCTCACCCCTCACGCCTCACCCCTCACACGCCTCACCCCTCACGCCTCACCCCTCACGCCTCACCCCTCACGCCTCACCCCTCACGCCTCACCCCTCACGCCTCACCCCTCACGCCTCACGCCTCACCCCTCACGCCTCACCCCTCACGCCTCGCCCCTCACACGCCTCACCCCTCACACACCTCACACCTCACCAATGACACGCCTCACCCCTCACACGCCTCACCCCTCACGCCTCACCCCTCACACGCCTCACCCCTCACACACCTCACACCTCACCAATGACACGCCTCACCCCTCACACGCCTCACCCCTCACCCCTCACACGCCTCACCCCTCACACGCCTCACCCCTCACACGCCTCACCCCTCACACGCCTCACGCCTCACCCCTCACACGCCTCACCCCTCACACGCCTCACCCCTCACATGCCTCACCCCTCACACGCCTCACCCCTCACACGCCTCACCCCTCACACACCTCACGCCTCACCCCTCACACGCCTCACCCCTCACACGCCTCACCCCTCACATGCCTCACCCCTCACACGCCTCACCCCTCACACGCCTCACCCCTCACACGCCTCACGCCTCACGCTCACCCCTCACACGCCTCACCCCTCACACGCCTCACCCCTCACATGCCTCACCCCTCACACGCCTCACCCCTCACATGCCTCACCCCTCACACACGCCTCACCCCTCACACGCCTCACCCCTCACACGCCTCACCGTTCACGCCTCACCCAGCAGCACACGCCTCACCCAGCAGCACACGCCTCACCCCTCACCAATGACACGCCTCACCCCTCACGCCTCACCCCTCACGCCTCACCCCTCACACGCCTCACCCCTCACACGCCTCACCCCTCACGCCTCACCAATGACACGCCTCACCCCTCACACGCCTCACCCCTCACACGCCTCACCCCTCACACACCTCACCCCTCACGCCTCACCAATGACACGCCTCACCCCTCACGCCTCACCCATCACACGCCTCACCCCTCACGCCTCACCCCTCACCCATCACACGCCTCACCCCTCACACGCCTCACCCCTCACATGCCTCACCCCTCACACGCCTCACCCCTCACACGCCTCACCCCTCACACGCCTCACCCCTCACATGCCTCACCCCTCACACGCCTCACCCCTCACACGCCTCACCCCTCACCCTCACACGCCTCACCCCTCACATGCCTCACCCCTCACACGGCTCACCCCTCACACGCCTCACCCCTCACACGCCTCACCCCTCACGCCTCACCCCTCACATGCCTCACCCCTCACATGCCTCACCCCTCACACGCCTCACCCCTCACACGCCTCACCCCTCACACGCCTCACCCCTCACACGCCTCACCCCTCACGCCTTACCCAGCAGCACACGCCTCACCCCTCACCAATGACACGCCTCACCCCTCACACGCCTCACCCCTCACGCCTCACCCCTCACACGCCTCACCCCTCACACGCCTCACCCCTCACACGCCTCACCCCTCACACGCCTCACGCCTCACCCATCACACGCCTCACCCCTCACGCCTCACCCATCACACGCCTCACCCCTCACACGCCTCACCCCTCACGCCTCACCCATCAGATGCCTCACCCCTCACACGCCTCACCCCTCACACGCCTCACCCCTCACACACCTCACCCCTCACACGCCTCACCCCTCACACGCCTCACCCCTCACATGCCTCACCCCTCACACGCCTCACCCCTCACACGCCTCACCCCTCACACGCCTTACCCCTCACACGCCTCACCCCTCACGCCTCACCCAGCAGCACACGCCTCACCCCTCACCAATGACACGCCTCACCCCTCACATGCCTCACGCCTCACCCCTCACATGCCTCACCCCTCACACGCCTCACCCCTCACACACCTCACCCCTCACACACCTCACCCCTCACGCCTCACCAATGACACGCCTCACCCCTCACACGCCTCACCCCTCACGCCTCACCCATCACACGCCTCACCCCTCACGCCTCACCCCTCACGCCTCACCCATCACACGCCTCACCCATCACACGCCTCACCCCTCACGCCTCACCCATCAGATGCCTCACCCCTCACACGCCTCACCCCTCACACACCTCACCCCTTACACGCCTCACCAATCACATGCCTCACCCATCACACACCTCACCCCTTACACGCCTCACCCATCACACGCCTCACCCCTTACACGCCTCACCCATCACACGCCTCACCCCTTACACGCCTCACCCCTCACACGCCTCACTCCTCACACCTCACCCCTCACATGCCTCACACGCCTCACCCCTCACATGCCTCACCCCTCACACGCCTTACACCACACCCCTCACACGCCTCACCCCTCAGCCCTCACACGCCTCACCCCTCACCCCTTATGTTCCATAAGTTCATTATGGAACATGGAGTACGAGGGGTGAGGCGTATGACGGGTGAGGCGTATGAAGTGGGAGGCGTATGACTGGTGAGGCGTATGACGGGTGAGGCGTATGACGTATGAGGGGTGAGGCGTATGAGGGTTGAGGCATATGAGGGGTGACACTTATGATGAGGCGTATGACGGGTGAGGCCTATGAGGGGTGAGGTGTGTGAGGGGTGAGGTGTATGAGGTGTGAGGCGTTTGAGGGGTGAGTCGTGTGAGGCGTATGAGGGGTGAGGCGTATGAGGGGTGAGGTGTGTGAGGGATGAGGTGTGAGGTGTATGAGGGGTGAGGTGTGAGGCGTATGAGGGGTGAGGTGTGTGAGGGGTGAGGTGTGTGAGGGATGAGGTGTGAGGCGTATGAGGGGTGAGGTGTGAGGCGTATGAGGGGTGAAGTGTGAGGCGTGTGAGGGGTGAGGCGTGTGAGGGGTGAGGCGTATGAGGTGTGAGGCGTATGAGGGGTGAGGTGTGTGAGGGATGAGGTGTGAGGCGTATGAGGGGTGAGGTGTGTGAGGGATGAGGTGTGAGGCGTATGAGGGGTGAGTGTGTGTGAGGGATGAGGTGTGAGGCGTATGAGGGGTGAGGTGTGTGAGGGATGAGGTGTGAGGCGTATGAGGGGTGAGGTGTGTGAGGGATGAGGTGTGAGGCGTATGAGGGGTGAGGTGTGTGAGGGGTGAGGCGTATGAGGGGTGAGACGTGTGAGGGGTGAGGCGTATGAGGGGTGAGATGTGTGAGGGGTAAGGCGTGTGAGGGGTAAGGCGTGTGAGGGGTGAGGCGTGTGAGGGGTGAGGCGTGAGGGGTGTGAGGGGTGTGAGGGGTGAGACGTGTGAGGGGTGAGACGTGTGAGGGGTAAGGTGTGTGAGGGGTGAGGCGTATGAGGGGTGAGGCGTGTGAGGGGTGAGGCGTGTGGGGGTGAGGGGTGAGGCGTGTGAGGGGTGAGGCGTGTGAGGGGTGAGGCGTGTGAGGGGTGAGGCGTGTGAGGGGTGAGGCGTGTGAGGGGTGAGGCGTATGAGGGGTGAGGCGTGTGAGGGATGAGGTGTGAGGCGTATGAGGGGTGAGGTGTGTGAGGGGTGAGGCGTATGAGGGGTGAGACGTGTGAGGGGTGAGGCGTATGAGGGGTGAGACATGTGAGGGGTAAGGTGTGTAAGGGGGTGAGGCGTATGAGGGGTGAGATGTGTGAGGGGTAAGGCGTGTGAGGGGTAAGGCGTGTGAGGGGTGAGGCGTATGAGGGGTGAGGCGTGTGAGGGGTGAGGCGTGTGAGGGGTGAGGCGTGTGAGGGGTGAGGCGTATGAGGGTTGTGAGGTGTGTGAGGGGTGAGGGGTGAGGCGTATGAGGGGTGAGGTGTGTGAGGGGTGAGGTGTGAGGCGTATGAGGGGTGAGGCGTATGAGGGGGTGAGGTGTGTGAGGGATGAGGTGTGAGGCGATTGAGGGGTGAGGCGTATGAGGGTGAGGTGTGTGAGGGGTGAGGTGTGAGGCGATTGAGGGGTGAACCAAAACTGTATTATTGCACTAATGGGTCATGTATGTATCTTTTCATTAGGCCAGGCAAGTTTAATTGTCTAGCACAGTTCATACAGAAGGCAAAGAGATAATCACAGTTCATTAAACAAAGTGAAGATAAAATCTGTTTTGAGCAGGATTGAAACAGTGTCAGAGAATAGGCTCAGTGTAAAACAGACTCTGATTATCCCCGTTCTGATGAGGAGAAAACAAAAGAAGCAAAGGACGCCAAAGACTTTCATGATTTAGTAAAAGGAAACCAATAACGGGCTAAAAATAGACAACGGAGAGCTAAGAATAGACCGAGAACCAACTGGGACTGACAAAAGACGACAAGTGGAACCAATACACACAGGGAAACACAGGGGAATTATGTTAGTGCGACACCATCACTCAACAGGACAGGAAGTAACACAGATAATTGTTGTCTGTCCTGTGTGTGTGTGTAACCCTAACCCTCTCTGTGGATCTCTCTCTCTCTCTGTGGATCTCTCTCTCTGTGGATCTATCTCTCTCTCTCTGTGGATCTCTCTCTGTGGAACTCTCTCTCTCTTTGGATCTCTCTCTCTCTCTGTGGATCTCTCTGTGGATCTCTCTCTCTCTCTCTGTGGATCTCTCTCTGTGGAACTCTCTCTCTCTGTGGATCTCTCTCTGTGGTTCTCTCTCTCTTTGGATCTCTCTCTCTCTCTGTGGATCTCTCTCTCTGTGGATCTCTCTCTCTGTGGATCTCTCTCTGTGGATCTCTCTCTGTGGATCTCTCTCTGTGGGGATCTCTCTCTCTCTGTGGATCTCTTTCTCTCTGGATCTCTCTCTCTTTAGATCTCTCTCTCTTTAGATCTCTCTCTCTCTCTCTCTCTCTCTGTGGATCTCTCTCTCTCTGTGAATCTCTCTCTGTGGATCTCTCTGTAGATCTCTCTCTCTGTGAATCCCTCTCTCTCTGTGGATCTCTCTCTCTCTGTGGATCTCTCTCTCTGTGGATCTCTTTCTCTCTGTGAATCCCTCTCTCTCTGTGGATCTCTCTCTCTGTGGATCTCTCTCTCTCTGTGGATCTCTCTCTCTCTGTGGATCTCTCTCTCTGTGGATCTCTCTCTCTGTGGATCTCTCTCTCTGTGGATCTCTCTCTCTGTGAATCTCTCTCTCTGTGGATCTCTCTCTGTGGGGATCTCTCTCTCTCTGTGGATCTCTCTCTCTGTGAATCTCTCTCTCTGTGGATCTCTCTCTCTGTGGATCTCTCTCTCTGTGGATCTCTCTCTCTCTGTGGATCTCTCTCTCTCTGTGGATCTCTCTCTCTTTGGATCTCTCTCTCTCTCTCTCTCTCTCTCTCTCTGTGCTCTCTCTCTGTGAATCTCTCTCTCTTTGTGGATCTGAGGTTTCTCACTTTTCAGCAACTGGGTTTTAGAGTTTTTCCTCTGATGCTGGAGTCTGTTACAGTTAGAGTTAGAAGGACACTCTACATTTTATACATTTATTATAAATGTATAATACCATGGTCCAATACCATGTGTTCTCTCTCTATGGTCCAATACCATGTGGTCTCTCTCTATGGACCAATACCATGTGGTCTCTCCCTATGGTCCAATACCATGGACCAATACCATGTGGTCTCTCCCTATGGACCAATACCATGTGGTCTCTCCCTATGGTCCAATACCATGTGGTCTCTCCCTATGGTCCAATACCATGTGGTCTCTCCCTATGGTCCAATACCATGGACCAATACCATGTGGTCTCTCCCTATGGACCAATACCATGTGGTCTCTATATGGTCCAATACCATGTGGTCTCTCCCTATGGTCCAATACCATGTGGTCTCTCCCTATGGTCCAATACCATGTGGTCTCTCCCTATGGTCCAATACCATGGTCCAATACCATGTGGTCTGATCTGTTGTTGGTGATTTCAATGGTTCTGTAAAGTCTCTGAGAAAGTACTGTTGTGATTTAGGACAATGTGTGTGTGTGGCTGCGTGTGTGTGTGTGTCTGTAGTCAGTGTGTGTGTGTCTGTAGTCAGTGTGTGTGTGTGTGTGTGTGTGTGTGTGTGTGTGTGTGTGTGGCTGTGTGTGTGTTCGTCTGTGTGTGTGTGTGTGTGTGTGTCTGTAGTCAGTGTGTGTGTGTGTGTGTGTGTGTGTGTGTGTGTGGCTGTGTGTGTGTTCGTCTGTGTGTGTGTGTGTGTGTGTGTGGCTGTGTGTGTGTTCGTGTGTGTGTGTGTGTCTCTGTAGTTAGTTTATTGTTTATTGAAACAGGGACAGTGTACAAAACCATTAGTCTTTACAAAAGAAGAGATGATTTGTACCAGATTTAGCAAAGTAGCTATTTTCCATTTAGTCAGTGTGTGTGTGTGGCTGTGTGTGTGTTCGTGTGTGTGTGTGTGTCTCTGTAGTCAGTGTGTGTGTGTGGCTGTGTGTGTGTGTGTGTCTCTGTAGTCAGTGTGTGTGTGTCCTACATTGGTGGTGGAAGTCTCAATGTTAATCCACTGTAAATAATTATGTAAGTGTTGCACTGTAGAGAAAAGCTCACAGGGACAGGAGCTCACAGGGACAGGGGCTCACAGGGGCTCACAGGGACAGGATCTCACAGGAGCTCACAGGGACAGGAGCTCACAGGGACAGGAGCTCACAGGGACAGGAGCTCACAGGGACAGGAGCTCACAGGGACAGGGGCTCACAGGGACAGGGGCTCACAGGGGCTCACAGGGACAGGATCTCACAGGAGCTCACAGGGACAGGAGCTCACAGGGACAGGAGCTCACAGGGACAGGAGCTCACAGGGACAGGGGCTCACAGGGACAGGGGCTCACAGGGACAGGGGCTCACAGGGACAGGAGCTCACAGGGACAGGAGCTCACAGGAGCTCACAGGGACAGGAGCTCACAGGGACAGGGCCTCACAGGGACAGGAGCTCACAGGGACAGGGGCTCACAGGGACAGGAGCTCACAGGGACAGGAGCTCACAGGGACAGGAGCTCACAGGGACAGGGCCTCACAGGGACAGGAGCTCACAGGGACAGGAGCTCACAGGAGCTCACAGGGACAGGAGCTCACAGGGACAGGGCCTCACAGGGACAGGAGCTCACAGGGACAGGGGCTCACAGGGACAGTAGCTCACAGGGACAGCTTGCATCAGTTGCATCTTTCCTCCTGTAGCTATGTGTGAAGCACTTTCGCTTCTCAGCAAGAAGGTCCTGGGTTCGAATAACCGTTTGGAGGGGAGTTTGCATGTTCTCCCCGTGTCTGCGTAGGTTTCCTCCGGGTACTCCGGTTTCCCCTGTTATAAATATACATTACTTGCTTACATTGTCCCTGTCAATTAAACAAATGAGAATATATTTAATTCAGAGAATGTCCTGAATCTAAAGTTTAGTTTCCCACTTTCCCGCAGCAGCAGCTGACTTCCTCTGCTTGTGAGTGTGTGTGTGTGTGTGTGTGTGCTGTGGGAGTGTGTGTGTGTGCTGTGGGAGTGTGTGTGTGTGCTGTGGGAGTGTGTGTGTGTGTGCTGTGAGAGTGTGTGTGTGTGTGCTGTGAGAGTGTGTGTGTGTGCTGTGAGAGTGTGTGTGTGTGCTGTGAGAGTGTGTGTGTGTGCTGTGGGAGTGTGTGTGTGTGTGTGTGTGCTGTGGGAGTGTGTGTGTGTGCTGTGGGAGTGTGTGTGTGTGCTGTGAGAGTGTGTGTGTGTGCTGTGGGAGTGTGTGTGTGTGTGTGTGTGTGTGCTGTGGGAGTGTGTGTGTGTGCTGTGGGAGTGTGTGTGTGTGCTGTGAGAGTGTGTGTGTGTGCTGTGGGAGTGTGTGTGTGTGTGTGTGTGTGTGTGTGTGTGTGTGTGTGTGTGTGTGTGTGTGTGTGCTGTGGGTGTGTGTGTGTGTGTGTGAGAGTGTGTGTGTGTGTGTGTGTGTGTGTGTGGGAGTGTGTGTGTGTGTGTGTGCTGTGAGAGTGTGTGTGTGTGTGCTGTGGGAGTGTGTGTGTGTGCTGTGGGAGTGTGTGTGTGTGCTGTGAGAGTGTGAGGGGAGATGCAGGTGAATACTGTCCACTCAGGGATGACCTTTGCCTCGGGGGGATTACACACAGACCTTAATGGACTTAGACTTAACCCTTTCAACACATATTTTGGAGTCATGCTACAGAGCGGCGTGGCTGTGTGTGTGTGTACGTGTGTGTGTGAGTGTATGTATGTGTGTGTGTGTGTGTGTGCGCCTGTGGCCGGGGGAGGGTTAATCTGGCCCCTGCTCTCTCCTGGATCCGCAGACGCCGCAGTGAAACGGATAATCCCCGCTAATCACATCTGAAATGTGTTCCTCTTCATCTCACTGCTCCAAACCCCAAATGTCATTCTTCTTTAGTCCTGTGCTTATGGAGGAGACACAACACAACACAACCGCATAAACACAGATGCATTGTGTGTGTTTTTATTATTCACAATAGACTGAGAATGAAAAGATATTAGATTGTTTTTACACTAAAACACTGCAGTTTTTAGAGTTGGACCCTCGTTTTGGAAACAGGAAGGACAGGGATCCAGGACACATTTATCCACATTTATCCACATGTATCCACATTTATCCACATTTATCCACATTTATCCACATTTATCCACATTTATCCACATTTCTGCTCCTTTTGGATCAATGTCTATGTGTTTTTTATCGTTGCATTTCTTGTGTGTGATTCTCTGATCTGTTGTTGGTGAATTGACAGCTTTGTAAAGTCCTCCAATACTGTTGTGATTTAGGGCGATACAGAAATGAATTGAATCTTTCATATAAGAATTAGACAAATATTTCTCAGGGTGGTAGTAGAGAAATGTCCAGTGTACTGTCCATAACAACATGTGCAAAGGATCGTAAACTAAACGGATCGTTCCTGTCGGATTTCCCACAACATCTACAATCCGACGGTTTTGTAAAGTCCTCCTAGATTTTTGTTTTTTATTTAACCATTATTTAACCACAAAAAATCCCATTAAGATTAAGAACCTATTTTTCAAGAGAGTCGTGGACAAAGTTACACATAAAAACAACATATCATTTAATTCATTCTCAACCCCTTTATTAGTTCATTTCTGGGTCGGGGGTCGGGGGTCGGGGGTCGGGGGGGAGCTGCACCCACTGCTCACAGCACCAGTCCCTCTGATCCTCTGCAGGGGGTGGCTCCACGGGAAGATCGCTGCTTTGTCAGTGACGACACAGTCTTTAGGCAATGTGGGGTTAAGTGTTTTGCCCAAGGACACAACAACAGCGGACATTAGTGGGACTCGAACCCATGACCTTCAAGCTCAAAGGCCAATGCTCTACCAACTGAGCTACTGTCACCCCCAATGATAACAATAATAATTAATTAAAAAAACGACAGACGACACACATCAAGTAAAACATTCAGATAAATACTTTATTGATCCAAAAGGAAATTATGAATTGGTCCCTTGCTCGCAAACATACAAACATACACACATACAACCATACACACATACAACCATACACACATACAACCATACACACATACAACCATACACACATACAACCATACACACATACAACCATACACACATACAACCATACACACATACAACCATACACACATACAACCATACACACACACAATCATACACACATACACAATACAATACAATACAATAGAATGTATTGTTGTATAGCCCTAGGTCACAACAGAAGTCATCTCAGAGACTTAACAAAACCATTGAAATCACCAACACAGGTCAGAGAATCAACAGTTAAAACACATGGAGAATATAAAGCACACACAGAAGAAAATGTCCATACATGTTGTAGAATGCTAAAGTGTCCTGATCATCACCAATCCTTTCTGTTGGACACTAACTGTCCAACAAGACCCTCCTGCATCCACAAGGAACAACTCTTAAAAAACCCAGTGGGAAAAAGTGAGAAACCTTGGGGAGAACTAGGGAAACCCACAGGGAGGGAGACCCACAGGGAGGGAGAGGGAGACCCACAGGGAGGGAGACCCATATGAGAAAGGGATCCGCTCCTCCGGACGGACAGGCTAATGATCCAGGACCTAAGCTAGCTACAGAACGTGGACCAGTGGCCGCTGAACGTGGACAGGTGCAGGACCAAAGCACTCCCAGCACTATGTGTGTATGATATACAATCATACACACATACAATCATACACACATACAATCATACACACATACAATCATACACACATACAATCATACACACATACAATCATACACACATACAACACATACACACATACACACATACAATCATACACACATACAAACATACAATCATACACACATACAAACATACAATCATACAAACATACAATCATACAAACATACAATCATACAAACATACAATCATACACACATACAATCATACACACATACAATCATACACACATACAATCATACACACATACAATCATACAAACATACAATCATACAAACATACAATCATACAAACATACACACATACAATCATACACACATACAATCATACACACATACAATCATACACACATACAATCATACACACATACAATCATACAATCATACACACATACAATCATACAAACATACAATCATACACACATGACAATCATACACCCAACAAACATCACACTCATACACACATACAATCATACACACATACAAGCGTACAAACATACAATCTTACCACATAACAACATACACATTATACAAACAATTCAATCATACACACATACAATCATACACATAAAAACATACAAGCCATACACACATACAATCATACAAACATACAATCATACACACATACAATCATACACACATACAATCAACAAACATACAACATCACCCACATACAATCTACACACATACAAACATACACACATATCACACATACAATCAATACACACATACAATTCAACAAACTACAATCATACATACATACTATCATACAAACAGACATTCATACAAACCATACAATCATACAAACAACAATCAGACACACATACAATCAACACACATACAATCATACACACATAACAATCATACAAACATACAATCAGACAAACAACTATCATACAAACATACAATCATACACACATACAATCATACACACACACATACAATCATACACACAGACATCATACACACATACAATCCCATACACACATACCATCATACACACATACAATCATACACACATACAATCATACACAAACAATCATACACACATGCAATCATACACACATACAAACATACACATCATACACACAAACAATCATACACACATACAATCATACACACATACAATCATACACACATACAATCATACACACATACAATCATACACACATACAATCATAACACATACAATCATACACACATACAATCATACACACATACAATCATACACATCATACACACATACAATCATACACACATACAATCATACACACATACAATCATACACACATACACTCATACACACATACAAACATACAATCATACACACATACAATCATAC